TAGCTGCTCATTCAGAAGAGGAGTTGGAGGCGCTGCTGCTGAGACTGGAGCGTGCCACTAAGAGGTGGGGCCTTACCATCAGCCCCACCAAAACCAAGCACCTGCCTGGGTATTTTGTACCATCGGACACTCCACCCCCACAACTCCCAATTGGTGATGGGGCAGTTGTGGAGAGAGTGGAGAGTTTCCCATACCTGGGCAGTGTGCTTATGACCGGCTCCAGTCTATCAGCAGAGGTCTCACTCCGAATCAGTCGAGCGGCAATATCTTTTCATCGGTTGCGTAACGCTGTGTGGAAGCTACCTGGTCTGTCGCTCCGCACGAAGCTTCAGGTCTTCTCGGCCACGGTCATTCCCTCCCTTCTCTACGCTTGCGAGACGTGGGCCCCCCTGGTGGAGCATCTTCGCCGGTTGGAAACATTTAGGCTGGCCTGCCTACGATCCATCCTGGGTTTAACCAGGCTGGATTGTGTGAGGAGCTCACAAATCCTTGAAAGATCTGGGCAAAGTCCCATCAGTGAGCTCCTCCGGCAGGCAAGGCTGCGTTGGCTGGGTCATGTAGCCCGCATGCCCAGCCACCGCATGCCTAAACAGCTTTTGTTCGGCCGGATCGAGGGGGCTAGACGGGCGCGGCACGGGCTGGAGAAGAGATGGAGTGATGTGGTACAGGAGGACGTGGAGCTGAGTGGACTTGCCGATGACTGGTACCAGCGGTGTCAAGATCGGCCTCAGTGGAGGAGGCTCGTGAAGGACGCTACTGGGCAGTTGGAGGCAGTCGCCCTCCAACAACAACGGAGGGCGGAGGAGCGACGCTCACAACAACGAGCGGAGCGCCGGGTGGCTAAAGCACAGCAAGTTGGCACAGTAGGGGGCACAGGTGGTGCATCAGCCAGTCATCTCGGTCATCTCGGTCAGTCGACCAGTGGCACCTGGGTCTGCCCCGTGACCTCCTGCCAGCGGGCTTTCGACACTTCACGTGGCCTCAAGGTGCACTTGGCCTGGCACAAGCATCGTGGTGACGTCACCGCCACTTAGTGGCGAATGGCGGTTGTTGTTGTTGTTGTTGTTGTCTATGTATGTGTGTGTCTATGTATGTGTGTGTATGTGTGTGTATGTATGTGTGTTATGTGTCTGTCTGTGTCTGCATGTATGTGTGTGTGTATTGTATATGTGTTTATGTGTATGTCTGTGTGTCTGTATGCATGTGTGTATGTATGTGTGTGTATGTGTTTGTGTGTATGTCTGTGTGTGTATGTATGTCGGTTTTGCCGCCGTGGTGGATCCAAGTCCCGGGCGAAGCCGGGTCATGTGTATGTGTTTATGTGTATGTCTGTGTGTCTGTATGCATGTGTGTATGTATGTGTGTGTATGTGTTTGTGTGTATGTCTGTGTGTGTATGTATGTCGGTTTTGCCGCCGTGGTGGATCCAAGTCCCGGGCGAAGCCGGGTCATGTGTATGTGTGTATGTGTTTATGTGTATGTCTGTGTGTCTGTATGCATGTGTGTATGTATGTGTGTGCATGTGTTTGTGTGTATGTATGTGTGTGTGTATGTATGTGGGTTTTTTTGTATGTGTTTATGTGTATGTCTGCGTGCCTGTATGTATGTGTGTATGTACGTCTGTGGATGTGTTTGTGTGTATGTATGTGTGTGTCTATGTATGTGTGTGTATGTGTTTCTGTGTTTGTATGTGTGTGTATGTATGTGTGTTATGTGTCTGTCTGTGTGTCTGCATGTATGTGTGTGTGTATTGTGTATGTGTTTGTGTGTGTTTGTGTGTTTACGCTCGCATTACACAAATGTATAATGCGGGTCTAAGGCGTTCCTTACACAGCATTGCCGCTTTATTATTTCAGTCGTTTACTGCCGTATGCACCCTGAAAGTCGTGTGTGTCTGCAGCAAGCGCGTGTATGTGTACCTATGGACGCGCGCGCGTGTGTTGTGTAGGGGGAACGGTAGTGTAGTGCTTAGCGTGCTGCCTGTGTCTGTGTGTGTGTGTCTGTGTGTGTGTGTCTGTGTGTGTGTCTGTGTGTGTGTCTGTGTGTGTGCGTGTGTGGTGTGTGGGGAGCGGTAGTGTAGTGGTTAGCGTGCTGTCTGTGTGTGTGTTTCTGTCTGTGTGTGTCTGCGTGTGTCTGTGTGTGTGTCTGTGTGTGTGTCTGTGCGTGTGTGGTGTGTGAGGAGCGGTGGGTGTAGTGCTTAACGCTACGCTGCGCTACCAACCCGGCAAACCCAGTTCGATTCCCGCTCACGGCCACCACCGGTGACGATTATTTGAACCTCCCCTAGGTCGACTCTGCCTCAAACGAGTAACTTAACTACTGTAGCGTATTAACATCGCCACTGGGGAGACAAAGGCGGCCGGCCGTGGTAGATACAAGTCCCGGGCGAAGCCGGGTAGTACAGCTAGTATAAATATAAAACAAAAAATTTGTTTTATATTTTTATTATTTTATTGTTTCCCTTCTACGTGACTTTACAGAAAGAACCAAGAACACTTATCACGTTAACACTCAACACGTTACCACTTAACACGTTAACACTCATCATGTTAACACTCATCGTGTTACCACTTAACACGTCAACACTTATCATGTTAACACTCATCGTGTTAACACTTATCACACTAACACTTAACACGTTAACACTTAACACGTTAACACTTACCACGTTAACACTCATCATGTCAACACGTTAACACTTAACACGTTAACACTAAACGCGTTAACACTCATCATGCCAACACGTTAACACTTATCACGTTAACACTTAACACGTTAACACTCAACACGTTAACACTCATCATGTCAACACGTTAACACTTAACACGTTAACATTTAACACGTTAACACTCATCATGTCAACACGTTAACACTTAACACGTTAACACTTAACACGTTAACACTCATCATGTCAACACGTTAACACTTAACACGTTAACACGTTAACACTTACCACACTAACACTCAACACGTTAACACTCATCATGTCAACACGTTAACACTTAACACGTTAACATGTGGACACTTATCACGTTAACACGTTAACACTTGTCACGTTAACACAGACCTCGTGCTAAAATCGAGCTGCTGCTGTCGGCAGCCGAGGAGGAGAAGTTGAAGCGAAGTCGCAAAGTCGTCGTCACCGTCGTCGAGTGACTCACGCCGGGCGGGTCACCCTCGCAGCCTACGTTGCATATTGATTATTGATTCGCTCGTCAACATGTGTTTGTTTGTGTGCGTGAACGACCACTCTGGGTCTAACTCCGCTTTTAAAAGACTGCCGAACTTTAATAAACGTGTCGTGTTGTGTGTGTTTCGTTTGTTGTAACTTTCTTGCCCCGCGCCTCCACTGGACATCAAAGAGCTTCATAGATCATCGGATTCCCAAACCTGTCAACCCTTTATCAGCGCCGAGAGCATTACAGGCCAATTGGGAACTTATTGGTTACCCCGTGCCCGTATACATCTCAACTTTATCCTGCAAAGTCCCATCACAAGAGAGAAACACAAACAAATAAGATTAATTTTCGATTTAAAGCTTTCGTGACTGCAGGGATTCATCTTCTTGGTTCTTTCGGTAAAGTCACGTAGAAGGGAAGTAATAAAATAATAAAAATAAAACATAATACAATAATTCTTGAGAATTCGTAAGAATTATTTTATTATGTTTTATTTTTATTATTTTATAACTTCCCTTCTACGTGACTTTACCGAAAGAACCAAGAAGAAAAATAAGATTAATTAATATTTATTGTGCCCGTATGGACGTGAAAACTCAAATTCCCCTGTACACAAGACTGCGGCTAAACCGTGTGGGTTGTGGACACGGTTGTGGGTTCCTTGTGCAGGCCAGATTCTCATCGATAATAGAGTTGTTTTAGAGTTAGAGCGCGTAAATAGATAAATGTGTCGTTAAACCCCTCCACCACCCGACACAGCCAACTCGTGAGGGTTGTCACGTCAACAGAACGTGGCCAATTCGTCAGTGGTACAGCACTAGTGTGTAGTGTAGTATGTAGTAGTGTATAGTGTAGTGTATAGTGTAGTGTCGTTAATAGTGTTGTGTATAGTGTAGTGTATAGTAGTAAATAGTGTAGTGTATAGTAGTGTATAGTGTAGTGTGTAGTGTCGTTAATAGTGTAGTGTGTAGTGTCGTTAATAGTGTAGTGTATAGTGTCGTGTATAGCAGTAAATAGTGTAGTGTATAGTAGTGTATAGTGTAGTGTATCGTAGTGTAATGGTATAGTAGTGTATAGTGTAGTGTATAGTAGTGTAGTGTATATTAGTGTAGTGGTATAGTAGTGTATAGTTTAGTGTATATTAGTGTAGTGGTATAGTAGTGTATAGTGTAGTGTATAGTAGTGTAATGGTATAGTAGTGTAATGGTATAGTATAGTGTATATTAGTGTAGTGTATAGTAGTGTATAGTGTAGTGTATAGTAGTGTAGTGTAGTATACTAGTACAGCACTAATCGCTGTGTTGGAGAGCCACGCCACAACATTTACAATCTGACTCCGTGTGACTCAGATGTTGACAGTGCATCGTCTCTGTTCGCCTGTTTGAGACTTAGACTCTCAACAAAGCTGTCTCTAGTGTGGAACAATCAGCTTCAAAGTCAACGCATCATCACACACTACCAGAGCATGCTTTTGGTTGCACAAGTATCGTGTGGTTAGTACAGACATGATTCCTCGCAAAAGGTTTCTGTTTGGTGATTTGGCATCTTAACACAACTCCTGTTTTATATCGACAGAAAGGCTAAAACCTATTCTTATACAGATTGTGATGGCTACTCGGCGCGCAGGCGCGTTGAGGCGCACTGTAGGGAGTAGTAAGATGGCGGCTCGCGCACTGCTCGGCAATAGTAAGATGGCGGCTGGTTGCGCATGCGCATTGAGGCGCACTGGGGAGTAGTAAGATGGCGGCCCGCGCCTAACGGGAGTAGCAAGATGGCAACTCGTCGCGCATGCGCGTTGAGGCGCACTGTGGGGAGTAGTAAGATGGCGGCTCGCGCGCCTCACGGGAGTAACAAGGTGGCGGCTCGGCGCGCATGCGCACTGCGGTCTCCGTGCAGGTGCTGCAGGAGTAGCAAGATGGCTGCGCCCGTAGCGGCGTGGTTCCGCGCCTCGGCCTCGCTGCTCAGGGCTCGCGGTTCGTTCCCCGCTGCGGGGAGACGCGGCCGCTCCCTGGTCGACGTGAGTTTTGTATTCGTGGCACCCGCGAGAGAGCGTCCGTCCGCTCCTCCTGTTGCGGCGCACTGCTGGTGCTGCCGTGAATGTCATTGGTCCCGCCACGGGAATGAGGAATTGTCACCGCGGGAGACAAGCGCCGTCCCCGTGTTCGCCTTGAGCGGGGAGACGCGGAGAGACGCGGTGTGGCGCGGGTTTCACGGGGCCCTGCCGCCATCGGTATAAGAGGTCGCGAGTTGACATTCCGGGTTCGAGTTAACTCAGCCGATGATCATTGACGCCCCGCGGGGCTCAATATACCGGGTAGAAGCGTGCGTGGAGTCAATTTGTGGATTTTGTTTATTGAAGGGAGACGGCAGGCATATCCCCACCCTGGTAATGTGGAGTTTCCAGTTATAGCTCTCAAGCATTTTGATGAAACTGTTTCAGAAGGTCGCGTCGCTGGCTCTCGTCACCTGCCCCGTGACCTCACGGTGCCCCGCGGCGCACGGCGCGGGGGCGATGTGGCTCGCGGTGCCGGTGATTCGTATTGATGCTGCTGGCGATGATGATGCTGTCGTTATGGTGATGATCCTGCCCTGGCGATGATGCTGCTGTGATGAACCTGTCATGATGATGCTGCTGGTGATGGTGCTTTCCCGGTGATGATGCTGTCGTTATGGTGATGATACTGTCCTGGCGATGATGCTGCTGTGATGAACCTGTCATGATGATGCTGCTGGTGATGGTGCTTTCCCGGTGATGATGCTGTCGTTATGGTGATGATACTGTCCTGGCGATGATGCTGCTGTGATGCTCCTACTGGCGATGATGCTGTCCTGTTGATGATGATGCTGGTGATGAACCTGTCATGATGATGCTGCTAGTGATGATGCTGTCCTGTTGATGATGATGCTGTGATGATGTCATGTTGATCATGATGCTGCTGCTGTGATATGTTGATGATGCTGGTGATGAACCTGTCATGATGATGCTGCTGGTGATGATGATGATGCTGTGAAGATGTCATGTTGATCATGATGCTGGTGATGAACCTGTCATGATGATGCTGTCCTGTTGATGATGTCATGTTGATGATGCTGGTGATGTCATGATGCTGCTGGTGATGATGCTGCTGTGATGTCATGTTGATGATGCTGGTGATGGTGATGTCATGATGCTGCTGGTGATAATGATGACGTCATGTTGATGATGTCATGTTGATCTTGATGCTGCTTGTGATGATGCTGCTGTGATATGTTGATGATGATGATGCTGGTGATGAACCTGCCATGTTGGTGATGATGCTTATGAAGTTTTTTTGCTGGTGACGGTGCTGACAATGGTGGTGCTGGGGAAGACAATGCCACTGGTAATGTTGCTGCTGTTGGGATGTTGTTACATTTGAAGATGACGTTATTGCTATTGGTGAAGTCACTGGTGGTAATGATGACAAAGAGGCTGGTAAAAATGTCACTGCTCGTGTTCATGGTGCGAGTGATGATGTTGCAGCTTGTGAAGGTGATGATGTTTCTGCTTTTGTTTTATGTAACTGATTATTAATTTAGTCCGTGTTGATGATATTGGTGACATTGCCACTGTTTCTGCATCTGTCACTGTCACCCCACTTCGAATCAAAAAGATGCTGCTGCTGTTGATGATAATTTTACGACGTCTGCCGATTAAGATAATGCTGCTGCTACGGCTACTGCGCGTGAGCGTGCAGGCGTGCGTGCGCGGAACAGGCGCCTGGCTGAGCTCCCGGCGCCCGTACGTGGCCGCCCGTCCCGGCTCCACCGCGAGCGGCGGCGGCAGCGGCGGCGCCGCCGACCGCCTCTCGGAGGAGTTCCTGGCCCAGCAGCTGCGAGACTACGAGCTGGGACGGCGCCACCTTGCCAACATGATGGGCGAGGACGAGGAATCCTTCACGCAGGAGCACATCGACGTGAGGAGCAACGCACGCACCACGCGCGCCGCGCTGCTGCCGAGACGCTGTGCCGGCACTGCTGAGGGCCCAGACCGGGAGTCTCGCTTGGTCTCAATCCGTTCATATGGGCCGGGTCAACGTCACTGATCGAGGACCCCCAGCGATTTTCGGTTCAAGCTCAGGGCGGGGTTTCGTTGGGAGTTCTACTGAGCATGCACCGTTGACTATTTAGTCTCAATACCTGGGCCTGGTCCTTCATATCTCAGGGGTGATGATGTTACCACTGAGAGTCGTCACTGTTCAGGTTCTGGGGCTGGATTGTGCTCACCCTCCACAGCTGATGGATATTCCCAACGGGAAAACACGTGGTATAACATCTATTTAGAAAAACCTCATTGATTCTCAAGACTCGTTTTAAGGAGGTGCCTGCGTGAGGATGTTTTGACAAGATAATTTTAAGGAGTAAAACACAAATTGTCCGTAAAGACAGTTTTATGGTCCCACTCGTTCTCCTGCCGTCTCCGGGCCAAATTGCAACACAGTCAGTCTGGGAGTCTCAGCATGTGTGTGATCCACTACCTCCACAGGCATACATCGCACCCACCCTCGTCCCATATACACCGTGCAAGCTCTTCAGCTATGCTGGCCAAGTGTTCTGACAGCCATTAGAGGTAACCACAAACCTGGGGTTTGAACCGGTTTCTTGTGAGTTGATGAACCACTTCTTTCAAGCTGATCTCCCATAGCAGTGCCAAGGTGTGCAATTGAGGGATGCAGTACAAAGGCTGACGCTGTTTGTTTCTCTTTCAGAAAGCGATTGAATATCTCTTCCCCTCGGGGCTGTTCGAGAAGAAGGCCCGTCCCATAATGAAGGTATTGTAACGCGTATCAAAAATCTCGTTTGTTGTTTCTCATTCCGCACTGTGTGTGTACGTGCAAGTAACTGTGTGTTGATGTCAAAGGTCAAAGTGTCTCCGCTCAAATGAACTGGAACAGCGCTCATTTCTATTGGTGGTTCTGAGGCAGTAGTGAAAATTCCTCCTTCCCGTGGTGTTGCCCAGTCCCACAAGTTAATGCTTATTTTATCAACTCCAGAGGGATGATGGTCTGAATGGATATCTGAATGGGTTGCAAGCACGGTCTATGGTGCTTCCTGACCTGTTTGGTGTAGAGGGCATTTCAGCAAATTATTGCAACAATAAAAATCAGTGACTTTCCCATGCAGAGACAGGCCTTCTCCATAGAAACAAGCAAAATCACAGCCCCATGTTATACTCTCAGCTGACCCGAATGGTTTTTATAGCTACAGAGGTCTGTTTCTGTATGTGTATTGTATTTATATATTGCATCAATGAGGAGTGGTAGCGTAGCGGTCGGCACACTACACCACAAAGTATATATCCATAGTTCGATTCCCATCTAGAGCTAACATTAGTGGTTTATATCTGAACCGGTTCTGGGCCTCCCCTAGGTCGACTCAGCCTTAAAGTGAGTACCTTGTGCAATGTGTAATCATCAGCACTGGGGAGAGAGAGGTGGCCACACCATCCCCTCGTACGGAGTGCCGGCATTAACAGGCACTCGTTAACTTGCACCCAACAGAACAGCCTGTGAGCACGATACAAGGAATTGTTGTCTCTGTTATACACGCGGCACCAGGAGAGAAATGGGAAAACCCTTGGGTGAGCTTGAGAGGCGTTATGAGCCGAGACTACGTCACCTCACCCAAAAAATGAATTACGAATCGTAATACGGTTAGTCCTCGCTTCATAGATGTTCACACAACGCATTTTTGCGATAGGACATTCCGTTGGGGAACACTTTTCACACACCGCGGAATTTCTGAGCGGTTGACCACGAACTAATTTTTTGAGCTGCATGGCTGGGCGGTACGATACAGTACGCAGAACGATTTAACCCAAAAAAAACCTCATGGATCCACCACCGTGTTAAGCGAGGACAAACCTGTACACGAATAATCGCATCCGAGTGAATGTTACGCTCATTTACGTTTCATTTGTTTTGCAGCATCCAGAGGAGATATTCCCCAAGCAAAAAGGTACGGAGGCGGAGTCCGTGGTTGGATATTTACGTTTGGCGTTTCACGCAGAGGCTCCCAAAAGTCACCTGAACAACAACGCAGCAGCACTCCTCATGCTCAGAAGCCTCTTATCCCCAATTCCTGTTTCTTGCGGGGGCTTGGCCGATCTGTGAATTGTTCTGCTGGCAGGCTATTTCTCCCACAGTTATAATAAGGAAACTGTTGTATGTTTTTAGAAAGCTTTTTAATTCATCATGCAAATTGCATCTCGGATCACAGCCGTAGTATTTGTAACTCGCGCAGATTTCGCACGGACGCGTGGGGAACTTGAGGCAAGCGAGAAAGCGGGCAGCGCAACAGCCGCTAACCAATAATTGCCCAAGCTCTGGGGTGCTATATTGAGATTTTAGACTTAATTTGGAGCTTTCGTGACTGCAGGAATTACTCTTTGGTTCTTTCGGTAAAGTCACGTAGAAAGAGAAAATAATAAATTAAATACTAGCATACGACATTTCGATTGCAACACAAGCAATCGTCATCAGGTATAAATGAAATAGAAACACAAATCTAGTATACTTAGAAATGTAATGTAATACAACAGAGAGTCGGATAACATAACAGTCAACACCCTACCTGGTTGATTACGTTCTTCCTGAGAATGCTATTTTAGGCCAATCGATTAATGAGCGTTGAGCATTTATACGCTCATAGGAGGAAGGAAGGAAGGAATGAATAAAGGGAAGCCGTTTCCATTGTCTCTTTATTAGTGGATAAGGAGAAAGAGTTATTGAGCAATAGCTCGGTCGGCTACACACGGGGGCCAATCGATTAGCAGCTCGCCCTGTTAGCCGCTAGATTGTTAATAAGTCATTAAAGGTTTTTTTGTTAATTAAGCTAATAGGCTAAACACCTCCGCTAATTCGCTGTTTGGTCTGCAGCAGAGTCCACGTGTCTAGACAGGACATCCAAGTGGTTAGAGAGCCCCAGTCAGTGATCATCAATGCTCTTGAGATATGGGTGTGGATGTGTGCATGTGTGTGGCGAGTGGTTGCCTAGCGGTTGGAGCACTGCGCTATGAACACGGCAACTTGAGTTCGACTCGTGGCCTGGGTTGACATCATTTGTGAGTGATATCCAAATTGGTCCTGCCTTAAATGAGTACCTTGTGCGGTGTGTAAACATCAGCATCCTCTTGTGTGCCACGCAAGCCTGAATAGGTGTTCACTAACATCACTCGGCATGACTGTTAAAGACTGAGTTTTTTGTGTTTATATTCTTTGGTTCTGTCGGTAAAGTCACGTAGATAGAAAAATAATAATAAAAAATAAAGTAAATAAAATTATAATAAACAAAGATCCACTAATGTAGACTGTAGCCTGGTTCTTAACCGGAGTGAGTGTACTGGCAGTCTATAATGTAGACTGTAGCCTGGTTCTTAACTGGAGTGAGTGTACTGGTAGTCTATAATGTAGACTGTAGCCTGGTTATTAAGCTGGGTGAGTGTACTGACAGTCTATAATGTGGACTGTAGCCTGGTTATTAAGCTGGGTGAGTGTACTAACAGTCTATAATGTGGACTGTAGCCTGGTTATTAAGCTGAGTGAGTGTACTGACAGTCTATAATGTAGCTTGTAGCCTGGTTATTAAGCTGTTTGAGTGTACTGACAGTCTATAATGTAGACTGTAGCCTGGTTCTTAACCGGAGTGAGTGTACTGGCAGTCTATAATGTAGACTGCAGCCTGGTTATTAGGCTGGGTGAGTGTACTGGCAGTCTATAATGTAGACTGTTGCCTGGTTATTAAGCTGGGTAAGTGTACTGGTAGTCTATAATGTAGACTGTAGCCTGGTTATTAGGCTGGGTGAGTGTACTGGCAGTCTACAATGTAGACTGTTGCCTGGTTATTAAGCTGGGTGAGTGTACTGGCAGTCTATAATGTAGACTGTATCAATGGTTAATAACCAAACTACAGTCTACATGAGTTTATTTTTATTCACTTTATTTTGTATTATTATTTTATATCTACGTGACTGAAAGAACCAAAGAATAAGAATTCCTGCAGTCTCGAAAGTTTTAAGTTAAACGTTATTTGTGTTTTTTGTTCGTGTGTGTCTGTCCGTGTGCATGTGCGTGTGTCTGTCCGTGTGCGTGTGTCTGCGTGCGCGTTCCCAGTCATCCAGTGGGGAGAAGATGGACGTCCATTCCACTACCTCTTCTACACGGGGAAGCCCAACTACTACACCCTCATGCACGTACGTACCTGTGTGCTGGTACGCACGTGTGTGCTGGTACGCACGTGTGTGCTGGTACGCACGTGTGTGCTGGTACGTACGTGTGTACACGTACGTGTGTGCTCGTACGTACATGTGTGTCAGAGAGTGTGTGGGGTGCGGTAGTGCAGCGGATAGCACGCTGCACTACGAACCAGGCAAGCCGATTTCGAGTCCCGCTCACGGTTAATTCCGTTGATGGTGATCTGAACCGGTTCTGGGCATCCCCTAGGTCGACTCAGCCTTAAATGAGTACTTGTTACTACGTGGTAAACACCAGCACTGGCAAGATAAAGGCTGACGGGCGTGGTGTTGGCAACCCACCCACTTTCAACGTTCAAAGGTGCTCGTAAACAGCACTTGTCCCAACACCCTGTTAAAGCTATACGGGGGATCTTTGTCTTTGTTTGCAGGACTTGTACTCCCAGCTGCTGCAGGTTGAGGCTGAGGAAGACAAGATGAGGAGCAAAGGTTACACGTCCGGTGACGCTAAGCCTGTGTAAGAGTCGCACCACAAGAACAACAACAGCGCCAAGAGCAGCAGCGGCTGGGTGGTGGCGCTGTGGCAACGCTCGCACCACGAGAGCAATAAGTCCCTGGGTTCAATTCCCGAATTGGGCGCCGTTCTGCGTGGAGTTTTGTACGTCATCTTCCCCCTGTTGTGTGCGTGTATGTTGAACTCTGTGTACCGTGTGACGCGGCATGGTGAGTATCACGGTGAGTCTCAGCGCTGTGTACCACGGCGCGCTGTGTTCCGTGTGACGTGGTGCGCTGCGTACCACGGTGAGTCTCACCGCGTGTCTGCCTACTGCCGTGCGCAGGGCCCTGCCGAGCAGCCGCTGGGTGACGCAAGAGGAGCTGGAGCAGTCGCTTAACGAGCAGCTCAGCGAGCATGACGTGCGTGCTCCTACCCCCCCCCCCCCAACGTTTACCGTGCATTGTGGGTACACAGTCATCCCCCTTGCGCTCTCACCGTGCATTGTGGGTTCACAGTCGTCCCCCTTGTGCTCTCGCCGTGCATTGTGGGTACACAGTCATCCCCCTTGGGCTCTCGCCGTGCATTGTGAGTTCACAGGCCTCCCCCTTGTGCTCTCGCCGTGCATTGTGGGTACACAGCCGTCCCCCTTGGGCTCTCACCGTGCATTGTGGGTTCACAGTCCTCCCCCTTGCGCTCTCACCGTGCATTGTGGGTTCACAGTCGTCCCCCTTGCGCTCTCGCCGTGCATTGTGGGTACACAGTCCTCCCCCTTGCGCTCTCGCCGTGCATTGTGGGTAGACGGTCCTCCCCCTTGGGCTCTCGCCGTGAATTGTGGGTTCACAGGCCTCCCCTTTGTGCTCTCGCCGTGCATTGTGGGTACACAGTCGTCCCCCTTGCGCTCTCGCCGTGCATTGTGGGTACACAGTCCTCCCCCTTGGGCTCTCGCCGTGCATTGTGGGTACACAGTCCTCTCAGAGGCAGCCGCCCCTCGTGAGATGCCTGGAAGTTTGGGGACGCGGTGATCTTGAGCTGGAGGGGCGGGGGTGTGCGGAACAGGGTAGGCAAGCTTGTAGAATGAGGTTGATGTGGACATGCCTCTGCATATATGCGCGTGTATCTGCCTTTGTGTGGATATACACGTGTGTGTGTGCTCGTGGAGTGGTGGCATAATGGTTAGCGCTCTGCGTTGTGAACCCGACAACCGGAGTTTAGTTGCCGGCCACAGCTAGGTAACATTTGTACTGGTCTGGGGCCTACTCTAGGTCTACTCGGCCTTAAATGAGTACCTGCTTCGGTGTATAATTATCAGTACTGGGAAGACAAAGGTGGCGAGGTATCTGCTATCTAAGGGATCTTTGCCATTTGTGCGTCCACGTGCGAGTTTTGTGTGAGTTTATTCAATTTTTGGGAGAATGCTTTTTTTATAATAGAATTGGCCAACACTCAACTGTGAGTTTCTCCTGAAAACAAGTCTTGAGACTCGTAGGAGCTTTTCTGAATAACTTGCACCGCCCCCTTGTGCGCTATGCCGGCCTTCATAGACGCTACCCGCTAACGGCACTTGCCCCAACGGTCTGTCGATGCCACACGCGGAATCTGTGTCTGTGTTGTGTGCGCGTGCGTGCAGTACGCGCGCTTCGTGCGGCTGGGCGAGCGAATCGCGTCGCAGCCGTTCCCCACCGAGGCAGCGCGCGAGCAGCTGCTGCGCTTCCGCGTGGCGCTGCAGGTGCAGTCGCAGCAGCAGGAGATCCCGGAGCGACGCGTGGACCAGGAGGGGCGCGCATACAGCGAGGCGCTCGGTAACCGCACGCACGCACACACGCACGGGCAAAGTTCCCCCGCACAGCCTTTCATAGATTTAAAGTGCCGTTATAGAGCACCTAATAAGGCGCGCATTCTTGTACACTTGTGCACACACACTACCGCACGTACACGCACTCAGGTGCGGACAATTCGAGCCATGCACACACACGCACCTACATAACCACGCATACTTTCACACATACACACGTAACCAACCGTGCTCATCACATGCGCGGGGTAAGGACGACAAACTTGCCACGGCGCTCAACACGGGTATTGAGCGACCGGACCCGCGTCTTGGTTTCTGTCGACTCTCGCCGCCTTGGCCGGGCGTGCGATTGAGCTCGCGAGTGTCTTCGGGCCTCCGCAGGCTTCCGGAAGAGGGCCCGGGCCAAGGTGACACTGTGGGAGAGCGGGTCGGGGAAAGTCACCGTCAACGGACTGGGACACGTCGACTACTTCCCCCAGCTGCAGGACCGGTGGGGACCCGACCCACGTCTCCACGCGTGGCACGCGGCCCTAGTGTGCCAAGTGGCCAGCAACAGACAGCACAGACAGTACTCTCCGAGTTCTAGTCGATAAGGGCATAATGCGTTTGTTGAAGTGAGCGATATTATAATGAGAAGTTGGGAAAAGAGACGACGGGAAGGAATTCCCAAGCGAAGCAGTGGGAGGGAAGGAGCAGAGATGTGTGGTGAGTGGTTGGATCAGTCAGAGTGGGTGGGTGAATGTTGTTGTGGCCTGCAGTGTGGTGAGTGGTTGGGTCAGTAAGAGTGGATGAGTGAGTGGGTGAGTGTTGTTGTGGCCTGCAGTGTGGTGAGTGGTTGGGTCAGTCAGAGTGGATGAGTGAGTGGGTGAGTGTTGTTGTGGCCTGCAGTGTGGTGAGTGGTTGGGTCAGTCAGAGTGGATGAGTGGGTGGGTGAGTGTTGTTGTGGTTTGCAGTTTGGTGAGTGGTTGGGTCAGTCAGAGTGGATGAGTGAGTGGGTGATTGTTGTTGTGGCCTGCAGTGTGGTGAGTGGTTGGGTCAGTCAGAGTGGATGAGTGAGTGGGTGAGTGTTAGTGTGGTGAGTGAACATGGTGAAGGAATCGATGAATGAAGTTCACACGGGAACATGAATACGCATCACCACTGGGAGGACAAACGCCTCGTGTGCCATGCCGGCTTGCTTTCTAACAGCACTCGCCCCGACGGTTGCGAAGGCTACGTGGGGGACCTTTGTCTCTGTGTGCGTGACGCAGAATGCAGCTGATGTTCCCGCTGCAATTTGCGGGGCGTCTGGGCGCGCACGACGCGGAGTGCGAGGTGAGCGGTGTGGGCAGCTCGGCGCAGGCCGGCGCCGTGCGCCACGCCCTCGCCCTCGCGCTCACCACCTTCCTGGAGCCACACCTCATCGAGGGCATGCGCAGGGGTGAGTGGGAGAGTGTGTGTGGGGAGCAGTCGTGTAGCAGTTCGCACGCTGCGCTGCAAACCCAGTGACCCCAGTTCGATTCCCGCTCACGGCCAACACCAGTGACGATTATCTAAACCACTCCTGGACCAGGCCTCAAATTAACACCTGGTGCGATGTGTAAACTTCGCCACTGGAGAGACAAAGGCAGCCATGTGTGGTGCTGGCCGGATACCCCCTTTTTGCCGTGCCGGCCTGTATAGGTGCTGCTGACTAACGGCACTTTCCCCAACAGCCTGTTAAAGGCCACGTGTGCACGCTAGCGCGTCTGTGTAGCCCCTGCAAGAGGCTGAACGCTGGGTCTGTTCAATGTTCTTTGCATTCCAAGCCTGGGTCTGACTCCCATCTCTCCTGCACTCAGCCGGATTGTTGACCAAGGACCAGAGAACGAAGGAGAGGAAGAAGCCGGGACAGGAAGGCGCTCGCCGCAAGTTCACATGGAAGAAGCGCTAGCGCTGCCGCCTAGCGCTTGCCGCTAGCGCTTGCCGCTAGCGCTTGCCGCTAGCGCTTGCCGCTAGCGCTTGCCGCTAGCGCTGCCGCTAGCGCTGCCGACGCGCTCACAGAGACAGCTGGCGCCCACGGGGCCGGTCTCCACAGCTCCCGCATTGCAGCCGCTCCCTGTTGCCACTTGCAACGTGCGTGAGGATTTCTTCTTTTAACAGAGCCACGCACGTACAGCGTCAGCGGTCTTTGCCAAACGATCCCAGTGCTGAGAATGTAGCTGCCAAGTGGCTCGATCGGGATCGCACGCGGCAGCAGCGGGGGCACCCATTGTCGTGGAAAAACGTGACAGGACCCTGCCGCTGAAGACTTGAACTCCCTGCGGCGCGGGTAAACAAACGTAAAAATAATAACTACAGGAATTATTTTAATAAAAAGAAAATCGAGCATCAACTCCGTTGTGTGAGTGTGTGTGTGCGCCTAGCTCGGCTGTGTGACGCGAGCCGCCCTGTGCGTGGTTAACAATCGTAGCGGTGCACAAGCACTACCAACAATAACAACAGCTCGCTCCTCGGTAGCAGCGCTGGAGAGTCGGCGACTCTTCGGGTTATGGGCCAATTCATAGAACATTTCTGGCAAACGTCAAAATAGTTTGAGGCTTAAATAGTGAGAAAAGTGAACGCGTTTGTAAATGTGGGAGGAGGGCGTTGTTTATCGTGTTCATTTCTTCTGTCTGCCCGGTTGGTTTGGGGTGAGGAACTGCTCTTTGTGTTTAGTTTATTGTCCTTGCCCCGCACCTCCGATTAGCGCGGTTGGCTCCGTACGGCGCGAGAGAACTTCACACAAGCACTCTCCTGGTGGTGGCCTAAGTGGCATGGACCACACACGAGGACGTTGTCTCGACGCATGGCGGATACACAGAACGCTGTGCAGTGGGAATCTCGCCAGCAATCCGCAATAACCACGTGAGGCGCATGCCACTCGTGAGCGGAACACGCCTATGGCAATTAAAATGGCATTTAACACGCCGTGAGGTTACAATCCCTATTTTGAATTAACGGTCAAAAAATGCCTTTCTTGAGTTGCAGTCGAATTAAACTTTTTTTTTACAAGGTAAAGCCCACTGAGCTATAGAGATATTTTTCAGAAGCGACCTGGCCACAAATGATCGCTCAACAAAGTGGCTCATCACGTGGAAATGCACATCAGGCAAATACTCTGAAAACGCACGTTTCTCAATGTGGAAGGAAAACCCGGATGGACCCGGAGAAAAACCCACGCCACCACGGGGAGGGAGGCACGCAAACTCCAAATACACAGCAGCGGGCGTCAGGATGGGGACCGAACCCACGACCTCCTGCGTGCCGTGCGAGGTAGTCAACATCTCGCCACCGAGGCGCCCCACAGATGGCTTCGCTGTTGAGGGCACTCGCTGAGTGCCGTGAGAGTGGACCCCAGCCGGTGCCGATCGCGCGAGGCAGTGCCCCCCCCCCCGTGGCGTCACCAGGGGGCGCTCACCCGGTGGTCCGGAACGTTGCGCTGTTTGGATAAATAACAATTATCATGTTTCACACGTAGGAGGCTTTCGCGACCAATATCCATAACAGGTTTTTGGATTAGATCGCATAAATATACACCGGTGTGCTGTACTAGTGACGAATTGGCACGTTCTGTTTACGTGACAACCCTTGCTAGTTGGCTGTGTCGGGTGGTGGCGGGTTTTGACGACACATTTGTGCGATCTAACCCAAAAACGTCTATTATGAACAATTATAATATTCTTCGACCAAAGCTTCCCAAGTCGTGCGTGACGGCTCGGGCCCCGCAGCCTGTCACACTCGTGCATACGTGGAAAGGTCGGATACGTGGAAAGGTCGGATACGTGGGCATCTACACAGTGACGGCTCCGTGACCTGCACAAAACACCGCACTGGGTTCTCCATTCGGGTTAATGACCTCAACCCGAGTCACCAATGATGGCAGATTTTTCTTATGACACTTGGTTTTTCAATGCAATCGGCCGAGTTGAACTGTGAATGGCAAAAGTGTGCATTGTTTCTCGTGTTGAATTTGACACAGAGCTCAAGTGGAATTGCAGTGAGAGACGGCGAGAGGTACATTTGATTTAGAGCACACACGCAGGTTACTGAGATCGTTAAAAAGGTGCAGAAAGGTCAAAGTGGGAGTGGGCAGGATGTGTCACTGGAAGAGATGAAGGCCGCTGGTTCCAGGGTAATGGAATGCATCCGAGAGGACGCGAGTCGAGGAGATGGAGGAACGAAATCGGGGCATTCTCTTAGGTTTTTTCGGTAAAGTCACGTAGGTAAAAAATATAAATATATAATACTAGTAATTGAAAAAATAATAGAAATAAAATAATAAATCACGACATTTCGGAGGCAACACAAGTCTCCGTCATCAGGTGGGACCGTCACAGCTAAATTTACTGTATCAAGTTTTCCGAAACGTGATTTATAATTTTATTTCTATTATAATTTTTATTATTTATTTTTTACCTACGTGACTTTACCGAAAAAACCTAAGAGTATGAATCCTTGCAGTCACGAAAGCTTCAAATCTAGAAATCAGGGCAGACGCCAGGCGGATTCTTCCATCGGAGGAACGTGAGAGATGGCGGTAACTTGGGGCGGCCTCCGTGTATCAGTCGTGATCACGCCGATGGCGAGAGGAAGCCACTACTTGCAGAGCACGCAGAGAGCTCCCTCCAGGCTGGGCGAGAATGTGTGGCTTCGACGACTCTGGTTTGACACGAGGCTCTGCTGGAACGGAGAGAGCTGCAGGAGGAAGCTTTCCGCTCCATGTGGTAGGCTGTTATTTTATTTTATATACAAAGACGGCGATCACCGAGGAGATGGAGCAAATCTGTTTCACGCGCAGGAGGCAGGTGGTGGCAGCTCTGAACCACGAGGGATGGCGGCGGCTCGGGGGGAGGCCTTCATCCAGCAGTGGAGAGACAATGGCGGATGATGAATTACAAATGCAATACCAAACATTGTGATATTTCAGCCACGTCGATATAATGTTCATTTTTGAAGGGCAGTGTTTTGAATTGCTAGCTGGTGCATTGGGTTTCAGGCTGCAATTACAGGGATTTCCCATCAACTGAAAGGGAATTGCCGAAATAGCTCGGCAGAGTCAATGGGGCTTAAAGTCAATTCCGGAATTGCCTATCAAATGAATGGTGCTTCAACGCAAATTCTGGAATTGCTTATCAATTGATGGCAAATTCCACAATGGCTTGCAAACTCAATGGGGCTTTGAGGTAATTGTGAAACGGCAACACCTAGATTAGTTCGGGATCAAGGTATCGCAAGTCGGCTGTGATGGATACGTTCAGTGCCGTGGGAGATGAAGGGTTGTATTAAATCGTGCTCTGCGTGTGTGTTATGCTCCAGTCGTGGTGCGGATGCCTTTGTGTTGTTGCGTGTTTGCACCACCAAGCCGGCAGTCTGCCGGGGTTGTCATCGATTTCTCCCGGGCTTTGCGGGAAGCAAAGAGCGGCGGTAATAATTAAGCCTCGCAGCAACAACCCCCTGGGTTCGACTCCCGGCTTGGGCGCCTTGCCGTCTGGAATGTAACACGGAGGCGTAGCGCTAGAATAAGCCAACTTACGTGGCAAACCAAACCTAATTGAGTTTTTTTTTTCTTCCTCTGTGTGTGTGTGGGGTAATTGGTGACTGAGCTGAGACCATCATGAAACTCGCTGCACTTGAGAACCCAGTTTCATTACGGGTGATGAAAACCTGGGATTGAACTCGGGGTCTCTGCGCTACTGGGTGCAGTGGTCTGGCCCGGCTGTAACAAATCATTCTCTCGGTTGGCCCAGAAGCCCTGTCGGGACTTGCGGTTTGAACTCGCTCGACAGCTGAATATGTTTTATTCATTTGACGATTGATTTTTGTTGTGATGCTGGTACCGTGCGCGAGTCTGCTCGTGGCCCCGTCAATAAAGTGAGGGGTAATTAAGGAAAGTCATTATAAAGCATAGGCCGAGGAATTTTAATTGGTTTCCGTAATTCTCTTAAGCGCCGGTTACGCATTGCACTGGGGTTGCTTCTAATTGATGCGCCGCCACTTGTTTTCAATACAGATCTAATTTTTAGAAAGATGTATGGGTTCAAGTCACTAATCCCACGTCTGTGAACAGTTGATCTGTTTTGTGTGATCAGTCCGGTGATTGAGCATCTTGGTCCGTTCAGTCACAAATGCAACACCCCCCCATCCCCGTCTCACTCACTATACTCATCCAACCTTTGCTGCTTCTGAGTATATTTATACCGATAACATTATTATTCCATCAGCAGCATCGGCGCCATCTCCAGCAGAAGAGAACAACGCATTCTGGCGCAGAGACTGATGTGTACGTGTAATACGACTTGGACTAATAATGCAATTTACAGCTTGCACATTAATTCACGAACATAAATCACCGTTACTGAGGCGTTGAGCCAAGCTCGGTGCCACTCGGAAGCCAGGCGAAAGAGGTGAGGGAATTTCAATGAAGAGGTGCAACCTTTAAGAACCCCGTGGCGTATTTAAGTGAATGGTAACAGTCGGCGTTGATTGGAACGCTGCTGCGAATGTGCAGATAGGTGATGGCCGCGTTCCAGACGCAGGGGGCTGGTTCCTTGGTGGAGTCTAATTACGCTTGGTTATGGCAGGGGGGGATACTTTTAACAAGTAAGCAGTCGATGATTACGTGGTGTTTATGGAATCCCCTATTTGATTCTCTCAAAGCAACGTAGTCGCATCACCGTTAACGGTTGATTCGGATTGTTATGCAGCAGCAGCAGCAATTGTCCCGGTCAACATCGGCAACAGCAACAAAATACACACACACAGGAGAAGTGGCCAACCATCCCGTGCCAGGACCCTCTTGCAAACGAGTAACGAGTCTCGGTGTCAGCCCCCCCCCCCACCCAATACAGATTTGAAAACAAAAACTCGTGGCGCTGGCCCTGGTGCTGAGTCTCCCGCCTCATGTTGTCATCGACGTGGCCCGGTGACCATTTGAACTATCGGTGACGAGTCCGCCTCCATTCTCCACGTGCGATTATTCACAATGCATGGCGACGCCATCGCAGCTGACGGTTTAAATGCAGACCGCCTCGCCATCGCTTTCTCTTGCCACATCCCGCAGCCTCATCATCATCACCACCACCACTATCCGGCTCTCGAACGTAGGTCCCCTTTGCGCGAATGCCGAGATTCGGTTAACATGCCCTCCCTCCTCCACCCTCCACACGTGTCCCATCCATCACAACCTCCTGCCATGGAATTGTTCGCATCTTCTACATGCAGGTATCGTCAACAAGCCAGACGATTGTGGTTGCTCTGTTCAAGCCGAGCTGCCCGAGACGAACGGTGGTGACACAGACGTTGCCTCTGTACGTGGTTTACAATGGGTGACTCGTTACACGACCCGGTTTTATTTACACCACGGTGGTGTGCGGAGCTTTCATCTTGGTAAGTTGGCGAACAGTGACAGAGGAATTGCAGATCGGCTGAACCGGGCCGATATAAAGAGGCATCGTAAACAGGGGGAGGTTTGCTCCATTGAGAACGTGCAAACAGGAACAGACATTTTGATTGAAAGCTTTCGTGACTGCAGGGATTCATATTCTTGGTTCGTTCGGTAAAGTCACGTAGAAGGGAAATAATTAAAAGATAAAAATATAAAACAATAAAAAATTCTCACGACGTTTCGAATGCAACACAAGCAATCACCATCAGGTGTGAAAACCACAGAAAGAAAATGTGATTTTTATTTTTTTATATTTTCATTATTTTATTATTTCCCTTCTACGTGACTTTACCGAAAGAACCAAAAATAGGAACAGATATGGTTGTTCCTCTCGCTGGGAATGAAAGCAAGGTCAACGTTTCGGTGCCTTCGCCTGGCTCGTGATTGTGGCTTGGGCGCTGTGTCAGCAAAATCGAAGCTGACGAATGAAAGAATAGGAGATGGAAATTTGAATGACTAATGTAAATAACGAGTCAAAGTGTCTCACTTTGACACACAGTGGCACTTATTTAAACGACCCGGAGGGATGCTGGGTTGAATCGATCGGGATTTCAACTCGAAGCTTTATGACTGTTGATCCAGTGTTCCGACTGCCCGATATTAATATGGATTGGGCGAACACCTGCACAGCATACCGATGCTTGCGAATGTGTGACTGACAATCTGTGACATTAACATTTGTTCGCAATCATGTTTGATGCTAATGTGTGCACATTAGTGAAGATTAATGATGCGTGAGTGAGTCGTACAATGATGCGCGCAATGGAATGAGCGGCACTTTTATTAAAGCCGCCGGTCTTCGTCCCAACGGATAGACTGGCACATGCCATGGAAATGTAAAATCCCCACCAGTGATAATTGGTTCTTTACCCTTCTATCTGGCAACAAAACTGGGTGGCAGATTCGTGCCAGGAAATGCGCCTCGTGTTGAAGCAACAGCGACTTGACTCTCCACAGTAATGGAGTCATCGGCCAATTAATGAGCGGTTACGTGTGCGCATCCGAAGACAGGCCACGCGTGCGAGGGGGGAACACTCGATCCCGTACAGACGGAGTCCACCGTTGGTTGCCGTGTCGGCCTCTCCCGGCGAGCTACGGAACGGGACTTGGACGCGCACGCTGAAGGGAGTTTCTCGGCATCCACGTGTGATCCATTAGCCCTCGCTGCCGCCGCCTCCCTCCGCACGGTGAAGGGTAGCAGGCAGTCGGGCTGCACGATTTTGGGGAAATATCTCATTACGGTTTTTCTGACAGATATTGCGATTACATGTTTTGAAGTCAAGCTTCAGTTCAATAATCACTGTGTAGTAGATGTAAAACATGTGGTGGAGCATTACCACATGATACAATCAAATTATGAACTGCTCTATATATTCTAATCAAAGGATGAGAACTTAAAAAAACATACATTGCTTCCAACATGTATTTATTAAAATGTTTAATTGAAATAGAACAATCAAACATAGAACAATTGATAAGTTAAAATAAATAAAGTTATAATAATAAAAACAATTCCATAAAGAAAGTAATACGACTTTTCAAATCGCAAAAAAATCGCAGCCTTTGCGATTCGCCAATCGCATTCTTTCAAATTGCGATTAATCGATTTGAAATCGATTAATCGTTCAGCCCTCGGCCAGGCCAGCCGTGTGCAGCAGCGCAGCCGACACCGCCGCGGCCCGGCTCCGTAATGCCTCGGCACGACGTCGCCACATCCGTCTCGCTCCTCCTGCGACACGTGGAGGAGCGATCCGCGGCCGTCGCTCCGTCTCTGCGCTGGTGGTCATCACCTCGGACGCGTCCGCCCCCCATTGGCTGGCGATCCGTCTGCACCATCGCCGCTCTCACAGCCCCCTGCCCGTGCCTCTCAGGGCGTGTCTTTGGGCGCTGTAAGTTGGCACAGAAGGTAGGGGGCACCGGTGGTGCATCAGCCAGTCATCTCGGTCAACCCACGGCACCTGGCTCCGTCCCGTGACCTTCCTGCCAGCGGGCGTTCGACACTTCACGTGGCCTTAAAGGTGCACTTAGCCTGGCACAAGCGCCGTGGTGATGTCACGGCCACTGAGTGGCGAATGGCGGTTGTTGTTGTTGTTGTCTCCTGCTGCCCGTGTTCCACGTTCTGTCTCGGTTGGCGCTTCTGCAATCTTCTCGGCGACCTTGTCAGATGCAGCTCCGCCGTCTTCTTTGTCCACTTCCCGTGTCGATGGTCCACGCGACAGCTGACCGTGTGCACTGATTGGAAAGTGTCACATGCAGCAGCAGCAGCAGCGTGCTGTGTTCGTATACAAACCCACAGCTATCAACCCGTCACGGATTACCCCGCATTTCTTGTACGTGGAAATTGAGTTTTCCGGTCCATACGGCGTACATCCGTTTCAATACGGGCACACAAAAATTGTGTTTTTTCTCTCTCTATGTGTTTGTGTTTCTCCCTCGTGATGGGACTTTGTCGGATGAACGTTGAGATTTATGAGGGCACGAGGTGACCAGGCCGGATTAAGGCACGGGGGGCTTTAGGTGCTGCAAGCCCATGGGCCTCCACCAGCTGGAAGCCCTCCAGAGATGAAGTGGAAAGTGATTTCGTTTGTGAACGCTGAATTTTATGTGTTGTTTGCCTTGTAAAAATACATTTTATTTGCCTTTAACTTTGTTTTCCTTTAGAAAATATTACTGTGGGCCCTCACAGTACCCTGTAAACCAAGGGCCTACAAAATCTCAATCCGGCCCTGGGGATGACCAATGAGGTCTGAATTGGTCTGTAATTCAAGGCCGAAATTCTCATATATATTGGGGGGGGGGGGGGGGGGGGGGGGGGGAGACACATCCCCCCCCATATTCAAATATGCTCAAAATGTCCCCCCCAATATCTTACCGATAAAATTGATTCCTGTTGATATGATTGTGGTTATGGTTGTACTTTATTAATCCCTATTACACACAATGAAACAAGAAAAGGTAAAAAATAAAAAAAACTAGCAATGTAATACAATACACTATTTGACGTTATTGTTAATAAAAAAGTCCATCTTATGTGTTAGTGAATTTTTTTCATATTTTAGGCAGGAAATGGCAGGAAATTCGTTTTCAAATTTAGATATATTTTTTCTGGGTGGGGGACCCCCTGGAAGATGTGGTCCCCCCCAATGTTGACTACATGGCTACGGCCTTGCTGTAATAAGTTCGGCACAGGCATGCAAACCCCACACACACGAACACTCATACACACATTTACTCATCATATACTCATCATATACGTACATACTGTACATAAATACAGTGATCCCAACATAGCCTTTTCACACATTGTTGGGGCCAGAGGTGCTGTTAGCGAGCACCTATTAAGTCCGACACAGTACAAGAGAGGGCTGGCTGTTGCCAGCACCACGCCCGGCCGCCTTTGTCTCCCCAGTGCTTTATTCTTTTTGACACCGCACCAGTCTGTCTCGACGGTCACGGCCCTGGCATCGCTCGCCACTGATGTGCGCCGTGTCCCTGCAACTCGAATCGGCGATCTCCATCGGCGACGGGCGTAGGAGCAGCCGCTCACCACTGCGGCCAACCGCTCCAGCGGCGAGAGGACACGTGATGCTGCTTTACGCTTTGCGTGGCAGCAATAATAAATAAAGAATCATTACGACCACGGCGATGATTGCAGAGCAGCCGTGGATGCGGCGACGTCGTGGTGGTGGCGGCTGTTGTTAACGCGTGAACTTATTCCGCTGCCGTTGCCTGGTAAGCAGGCCAGCCAGTGGGATGTGCTGATGCTGCTGATGATGCTGAAGCTGCAGCTGCTGCTGGTGATGATGATGAGCATCAGCATCGCAGCTGCAAGGACGGGAGCAGCAGCAGCACAGCGCAGCGGCACACAGCCGCGAGCAGCGAGCCAGGGAGAGGTCTGAGAGCGAGGGGAGTGGAGAGAAGAAGAGGGGGCTAGAGACAGCGGCAGACGAGGTGGAGAAAGGCGAGCGAGAGGAGGAGGAGGAGAGAGAGAGAGACGGTGATTCCTGAGGATCGAGCAGACACGGAGAGCAAGAGAGAGGCAGGGGAAGCGGAAACACTGTATAGGTAGAGCTGAGAGGGGGAGAGAGGCAGGCGAGAGGCGGAGAGAGAGAGAGAGAGCCGGGGAGAGAGCGGGGAGAGAGCGCGGGCAGCATGTCTGGGTCTACAGGCGGAGATCTGTGCTCGCCCTCGTGGAAGAAGCAGACGGAGGACATCACGGCTACGTACGAGCTGCGAGAAGTGCTGGGCACGTGAGTACTCGCCTACCCACTCACCTACCCACTCCTTCACCCACTCACCTACCCACTCCACCACCTACCCACTCACCTACCCACTCACCTACACACTCACCTACCCACTCACCTACCCACTCACCTACCCACTCCTTCACCCACTCACCTACCCACTCCACCACCTACCCACTCACCTACCCACTCACCTACACACTCACCTACCCACTCACCTACCCACTCACCTACCCACTCCTTCACCCACTCACCTACCCACTCCACCACCTACCCACTCGCCTACCCACTCACCTACACACTCACCTACCCACTCCATCACCCACTCACCTACCCACTGCATCACCCACTTCATCACCCACTCACCTACCCACTCCATCACCTACCCACTCCATCACCTACCCACTCCATCACCTACCCACTCCATCACCTACCCACTCACCTACCCACTCCATCACCCACTCACCTACCCACTCCATCACCTACCCACTCCATCACCTACCCACTGCATCACCCACTTCATCACCTACTCACCTACCCACTCACCTACCCACTACATCACCTACCCACTCCATCACCTACCCACTCCACCTACCCACTCCATCACCTACCCACTTCATCACCCACTCCTTCACCCACTCCTTCACCCACTCACCTACCCACTCCATTACCTACTCACCTACCCACTCCTTCACCCACTCCTTCACCCACTGACCTACCCACTCCTTCACCCACTCACCTACCCACTCCATCCCCCACTCGCCTACCCACCCAGCCATTCACCTACCCACTCACTCACCCATTCACCTACTCACTCACCTACCCACCCACTTACTCACCGAGTCAGCTACCAACTCTGCCACTCTGCATTTCATTCACTCAACCAGTCACACATACTCATTCACCATTCACTCACCAACTCGCTCACTCACCCATAACTCCTTAACCCCACACTAACATATACACTCGCCCACTCACCCATTAATTCCATCACCCATTCACCCAGTCACCTACCCACTCCATCACCCACTCGCCTACCCACTCATCCACTCTCCCACTCACTCACCCATACGCCAACGTCCTCACCCAATAACTAAGCCATCAACTCAAGCACCCATTACCTGATTCATCCATTCACACCCCCATTCTCACAGAACCACTCATCCATTCACTCGCCCACTCTGTTTCTTTATAATCCACACACTCACCCACCAAACACTCACTCACATATTCACTACACACAACCATTCACCATTTCAACCGACCATTCACTTACCAATCCACCCAGTAATTCACTCACCCATTCACTCACTCGATCACGCATCCACCCATTCAATCACCCACTTGCTCACTCACTCACCCACCCATTGAATCACCAAGTCACACTCATTTACTCACTAACTCAATCGCGTACACAATTACTCACCCGCTAATGATTTCATTCAACTAATGACTCAATCAGTGGTATAGCAATCGGTCTCTGTGTAATCACAATTACACGCAGACCTATTACCATTCACGATACGACTGCATGGCCAATACGTATGTGTGCGGCGGTTACTGTGTAGAGCGAATGGGAGTGGATCTGTGTGTGATTCTGTATAGTGAATGGTAATAGTGTACTGTATGTGTGTAGGGGTAGTGACGAGGGAGAATGTGCTCCTATTCTGTGGTGTGTGTGTGTGTGTCGTGTTGCATGCAGTAGGCCTCGGTGTGTGTACTCTGCTGCTGATGCACGTGTTATAATGACGTTGAGCAAGAGGTTATCAATTCACAATTGTGGCGATTTCATTGATAATTTTGGGACGGCCAACAGCCAACACTTGATCACGAATGTACAATCACAGGCCGATAGATCAGTACACATCGCAGCATCGTGTACGGGTGTGTCTCTCGGCAGAGTGCAGTTGGTGTTAAACACCTGGAGCACATTGCCCATCCATTGTACGAGTTTGAAACGGGTTGCATGTCACCCCCTGCCGAATGACTGCATCTGATGAGCTGAATTCTCTAAACATATCGGGTCAAAGTTGACGCATCGTAAGCCGTACATGAAATCTCATTGGACTTGGTGGAGCCGCTTGAGACGAGTTCTCCGGTTTTACAAAAGAGATGGTAACTACCTGGCCAGGTATGGAGGAGGTCGTGGGTTCGTTCTCGACCATGACGCCTGCTGCTGCTGCTGTATATTTGGAGTTTGCGTGTCTCTCTCTCTCATCATCATCACGGTGGCTAGGATATGTTAACTACCTCGCCTGGTGTGCAGGAGGTCGTGGGTTCGTTCCTGACCCTGGCGCCTGCTGCTGTATATTTGGAGTTTGCGATGTCTCTCCCCCCGTGGTCGCGTGGATTTTTTTTATTATTAAACTCCATTGGATTGTCTCTCCACATTGAGAAAGGTGCGTTTAAGAGTATTTGGCTCAATAACGCTGTCTTTCCGACAGCTCTGTTCTTCACCTGAGGACGGCTGCTTGTGTTGTGGCCGAAACGTCGTGAGAATTTTATCATGTTTGATTTTTATTATTTTATTATTTCCCTTCTACGTGACTTTACCGAAAGATCCAAGAATAGTATTTGGCTGCTATTAATTGCCACGTGAAAAGCCACTCGAAAGCTCAGTGGGCTCTACCTGGTAAAATAAAAATAGTAAAATTGATAGTTTATCTTCAGATGAACCCAAAATCTCCGACAATCAACGCCTGGGATACGACGTCGCTAACAGCGGAGGCGCAGGGCACGTCGCGGGGGGGGGGGGGTCTATGGGGGCCCAGGGCGCTCGGCCGTGGCCCCACCAGGTGGACGATGATGCCACCTGTTGAACGGTGCCACGCGACCTCTGCATGCCAGCGCCCTGACGCGGGCGCTTGGAGAGGTTGCGCGTGACCACCGCGGCTCGCCGCACGGGCCTCGTCGCGGTCGTGTCCGCCGCGGGCCCGGGCCGGCCTGGCCCCCCCCCCCCCGGGGTCAGGCCACACGGGTGGCCCTGCAGGCCGCACTGTAGTCGCGCCGTCCCCACGCTCGCCACGTGCCGCCGTCGTGAACGGCCTTCGTGTCATCGCTGTTCAGCGTCGCAAATTCCGTGACGGCGCGAAGCTCAATTTTCGGAGCAGCCCATAGGTCTGCACGATGGAAGCAGCAAGTGTTGGTGGATCGCACAGATGTCGCGAAACTCGCCAGGAGGAGGCGGTACAGCAAGTTGGGGAATAATATAATCTATCCCTTCTGTACGGGATAGAGCGTTGCACCCTTGCACATGTGAGTATTCTCCAGCGTGCTCTGGATTTCCACCCACGTATAAATTACGCAATGGTTGGATGAAACATCCTAATATATCGAGGAAATGTGGAGCTTGGGCAATTGTCAGTGGCGGGCCCTCCTTCTGTTCGAGTTGGATTTTGTATGAACGACACAAGATGAAACTAAATTTGTATATATTGTTATTATAAATCGGGAACACAGGAAGAATAGTGTGTCCTGCCAGAGTATACTCGTCAAGGGCTATAATTAAATGCCAGGTCAATGGCCTCTCGTATTCTCTGTTATATTCAGCTCAGAACTCGTTGTGCTATGCTAGTGTCGTCTGTGGCGGGGGAGTGAAGAGCGATCCAGAGCCTGAGACCGGACAAAGCGCTAGGACCGAGATCTCCCAAGCGAATAGCGGTCCAAATAGATCTGCGTGTGTATGTAGTTTTGTGAGAGTATGTGAGAGTGTATGTACGTGTGGGGAGCGGTGACGCAGTAGTTAGCGCGCGGCACGATGAACCCGGCGACCCCAGTTCGATTCCCGCCCACGTCCAACATAGATGACGATTATATGAACCAGTCATGGGACTCGCCTAGGTCGACTAGCCTTAAATGAGAACCTGGTGGGTTGTGTAAACATCGCCACTGGGAAGACAATGGTCCACCCGATGTGGTTTTGGCTACCCATCCCCTCATGTGTCGTGCCGGCCTTCATAGGTACTCACTGACAGCACTTGCTCCAACAGTCTGTTCAGCCTATTTGGGGGATCTTTGCCTTTATGTCTTTGGATATGTGAATTTGCACAGTAGGGAGCACAGGTGGTTCAACTGCCAGTCAGCTCGGTCAATGCACAGCACCTGGGTCTCTTCCATGACCTCCTGCCAGCAAAAAAAAAATACTTCCTGTGACCTCCTGCCAGCAGAAATCCTTCCACATTTCACGGGCTGGCCCCGAAGTGCACACAGCCTGACACAAGCGCCGTGGTGACATCACCATCATCTTCATCAACACTTAGTGACTCATGGCTCTGTATGTGTGGGTTATCGGTGCTCGCTGACAGCACTTGCCTCCGACGGTCACTTAAAGGCTACACGGGGAATCTCTGCCCGACGTCCGCCCAGCACGCGCACGCCACACACGTTCGCGACTTCTCGCGCCGCGGAAATCCCACCGACGTTCACGGCTCCCGTCGGCTCGTGGTGGGTCCGTCACGGTGGCACCGGGCGGGTCCCCTGCTGCCTCGAGCGGCTGAGCGAGAGAGATCCCCCTCGCGTCAGTCCGCGCAGCTCCGGCATGGCGCAAGATTTTAATGATTGGACGGAGAGCTTCATGATTGCGTCGCCTCGCCGTTGCAGCATCGCGGATTTAGACAGCTGCTGTTGCCGCTTGCTTCGGCTGTCCCAGATTCGTTACGTAACATGGTGCCTGCATTGCCGCTGTCGAAATCAGTGTTGTGCCCTGCGTGCAGATTACTGCCCCGTGATCTTGCGCATGAACACACACGCATGAACACACGCGCATGAACACACACGCATGAACACACACGCATGAACACACGCGCATGAACACACGCGCATGAACACACGCGCACCAACACAACAACAACCGCCATTCGCCACTAAGTGGTGGTGACGTCACCACGATGCTTGTGCCAGGCCATGTGCACGTTGAGGCCAAGTGAAGTGTCGAACGCCCGCCGGCAGGAGGTCACGGGGCAGACCCAGGTGCCTCAGGTCGACTGACTGAGATGACTGAGATGACT